TTTTATTCTTTTAGCGTTTTATTCTTTTAGCATTAGCAAGACAATTCAGGCTCATCCTGTGCTCACCTTGGTCTTAGAGACTAAAAGCTAGTAGTACTGAGCTTCTTTTCTTCCTCCTCATTTTTGCAGGGTTTGTGGTTTTACTTAAACAAAAATAAATAGCACATGCCTGGGAGCCATCTCTCCCTTCAGCGTGGTGCTTGGTGACTCTAATGGCATCTTATAAAAGAAAATGCCTAATCTGGGGCTCACCATTGCAGAAGGTTAGAATCTGTGACTGTCATGCTGAGGAGCATGGCAGCAGACACCCAGGTGTGGAACTGGAGCAGCAGCTGAGAGCTCACGTCTCTATCTGAGCACAAGGCAGTGAGCTCGCTAGGACGGGCTTGGGCTTTTTGAAACCTCAAGGCTCATCCCCAGTGAGAGACATCTAACTAGTGCCAGATGAATTTCTTTGGGTTTTGTTTGTTTGTTTGTTTTTTAAAGTTCTTGGACTTCACCAGAGGTCATAGAGCAGCCATGACTCCACATAGGAGATGGCTGCTACCTACAGACAGGAAGGAGGAAGAAGGCCTGAGGACACTTCTTATACTTCCTGTTAACAGGTTTCTGTTGCGGGGTAGGAGAGAGACAGAGAGAGACAGAGAGAGAGAGACAGAGACAGAGAGACAGAGACAGAGAGAGAGAGACAGAGACAGAGAGAGAGACAGAGAGAGACAGAGACAGAGAGAGAGAGAGACAGAGAGAGAGAGGAGAAAAAGGAAATTATCTGTCACATCTTGACCATTTTTTTCTGTAGGACAAAATTTTGGTCTTTGCTTTTCCTCTTTGTTGTTTTTGGTGTTTGTTTGTGTTTGTTTGTTTGTTTTTTAGGACAGTTTTGCCATGCTGTCCTGGTTGGCCTGGTACTCACTTTGAAGCCCAGATTAGTTTCAGACTCATAGTAATCTACCTGCTTCAACCTTCTAAATGCTGGGATCATAGATGTACACAATACCTCTCTCTCTCTCTCTCTCTCTCTCTCTCTCTCTCAAAGATTTATTTTTATTTGTCTGGATAAGTGTGTCCAATGTATGTGCAGCTACCCAGGGAAGCTAGAAGAAGGTATCATTTTTAATTTGTCCTTTACTTGGTGTCACAAATCTGGCTTCTCCTGCAGCTTCAGCTCTAGGACAGCCTTGGTAAAGTCCTCAGAACTCATTAGGGAAAAGCATCTTTTGAGTCATAACCCAGCCCGGCAAGGAGCTCCCTCCAAGTGGGCTCTCGGTGTTTGCACCTGTTCTCCACCCTCTCCTCACCGCTTCTGCCCCACCACCATGGTGTGTTTATTTCGAGACAGTCACCTGATAGCTGCTGGCTGTAGAGGAGGGAGCAAAACTGGAAGAGTTGTTGGCAGCAGCCTCTGTGTTGGGAAAATGTAGCAGTTTTATGAGGAAGATGAGTAGTTCCTTCAGCCTTGGTGGGAGGCTGAGAAGCACCAGAAAAATGGTTCCTTTGCCCTGACACAGCCTGTGACATGCCATACCATATTAGACACCTAGTCCTCACTTGTGACTCTTCACACTGGTAAGTACAGCTAGGAAGGTCCAACTGGGATGTTCTGCACTTGTTTGCAAAGTCATCTATGAATAAGTCTTCCTGAAGTGCAGAACAGAAGTCTGTGAATGTGCCTTATTCTAGAATCTAGAGGCTCACTTGGTGCTTTTATGGTGTTTTGTTTTGTTTTGTTTATGTTGTTTTGTTTTGATGTCTAGCCTAGGCTGGTTCAGACTTATACCTCGTCTTTCCAGTGCTGAAATGACAGTCATGAGCCACCCCAGCCAGCTCCAGCCATTGCTTTAACTGCTGATGCTTTTCAAAGCAAAAGTCTGTACTGAGCTTTGGGGAACAGACTTGGGAGTGGAAACCTTCTCTCCACTGCTATGGACATCAGCTGGGATTGGTCAACAGACGCTTAAACATCTGGTCAGCTTAGCCCTTTGGGGTGAGCAGTGTTTTATAGACAACCCATCAAGATTGATTGGCCTTCTAACTGAATTAGCCAGATGTGTGGGCATTGTGTGCCCTTTCCTCAGTCTCCAATGTTGTTAGATGAAAGCAGACATGCGATTAGCATGTTTGAAGATGATGTGGTTTTAGTGCATAAACAAAAGATGCCGCCTCCTGCAGACAGTGGCTCTGCCACAAACGTCAGCAGTATAATTACAGCTGCTGAATTTAGCCTAGACCTGAGCTTGGCTTCCTCAGTCTCAGCTGTTATTTGCAAGAGAGGGAGGGGGAGTGGAGCCAAGGCTAACAAAGCCTAGGGGCCCAGGCTCTTACATAGTTAGTCTGCTCCAAGCTCTGCTTTATCCAGAACAGGCTGCACCTTTGGGGGTAATGTGTTGGATTGAGGGGGGAGCGGATAGGGCTAGTCTGAAACCCATAACTTTAGAAAACTTGTCTAAAATTTAAAAAAAAAAAATGAGCTGAGTTCTGGGCTCCGGTGCTGTCACAGGTTTGCAGTGAGCTGGAGTCCGAGGCAGGAGACTTGCCTTTTGTGTGGCTGGCTCCGCATGCGCCTTGTGTTTGGGCGCTCATCTTTGATTATTCACCTTCTCTCCTGACCTCACTGGCCTGCATATTCTCCTCAGAACAAACAAGGCATTTTCACGTTGTCTCTCCTGATGCTAATATTCTGTAAACAACTCACGCCACCGTGTCCAAACCTGCCCTCATTCCACCATCCATGCTTAGTGAATGATATTGTCACCATCTACCAGCTTCAACAAGAAGGCATTCTAAGTAGGTTTGGTGCCTTTCTGCCTCAGTGTTTAACAAGCCCTGTCTGTGTGAGATTTCCTCTCAGGTCCATCTCTCCTGTGTCCCCACTTGCCCTTAGTTCTTACCCCTATAGAGCTGACAGCACTAATCCAGCCTCATTGTTGCCCTCCCATCCTCTAGGATCTCCTTCAACTCAGCCTCTGCCCTGCAAAACTTTGGCTCCCCTGCTCCAAAGCCTTCAGCAGTTTCCAACACCTCCAAGGTCAACCTACATGTCTCACCCGCACCCTTGTACTCTGCAATCCACCATGAGTCTTCTGCCGCTCTCCCTAAGATGCAGGGGTGATGATTTGCATTGAGACTGGGACCAGCACCTGCTGGGCTCACAGAAAGCTGTCTGGGAAATAGACAGTCACTGTCTTCAAGGACCTGCTAAACCACTCATGCCCTCGTGGTCTTTCCTTCTCCAAGCCTCCTCATTCACTTTTCCCTATGGGAAGTCTGCCTAGCCTTCAGGAGGCCACTCCTTACATCCTCTCTCAGGCTTCCCCTGGTATGCTTACATAAGGAGGCTCAATTCTCACCCTCTTCCCCCACAGCAGTTGAAAAAGCTTAAAATGTACAGATTTTAAAGATCCCAGTTAAAGATTTGAAAAACAGATCCCCATACATCCCCTCCTTGCACCTCTTCTCTTGGCTCCACAGATTCTGCCATCAGGAGCCCTGGCCAGGTTATTAGTGAAGGAAGAGCACCCAGTCCTCCTCCTGTCTGCTGTGACAGTAAGGTACCAGCTCCCTGCTCACCACCCAGATCCATGCATATTCATAGGTGGCACCCGCTGTAGGAAGGACTGCTTAGTAACAGCAATTAGAGGAAACACAACAGTAGCTGCCACTCATTGAAGCCTCACTACATACCAAGGCTTATGTCTTTTCTAATAACTAACTAACCACAAGGTGCAGACTTATCATCTACATTTCCCTGTGTGTAAGAAGGGTACCAGACTATTTGGGAACTTGCACAGGCTAACCCTCAGAAACGGCAAGATCGCTGTATTATATCTTGGTTATGATTTCAACAGTCAAATTCCACAGACAACAGCCCCAGAGTTTCTCCAGGATAAAGTAGGTACTGGAATGTTGATTGGCTGATTGGTAGGTTGAGTGGGTCAGTGTTCTTCCCATTGAACTTGCCTTCAGGTTTAAGAGGAACTTGGCTGAGTGTCTGTAGCTTATGCCAAGAAGTATGGATTTTGTCTCATCTCCTAATGCCCAGCTGTACACAGACATGTTCCCTCCCACTCAGTAACAAACTGCCTGGAACTCTTTCCTGGCTCATATTTACAAGAGAATGTGATAAATTCCGTATTGATCCCTCCTGTTCCACTGTAAATTTTGCAAAAGATGATTAAATAGAGCAATAGAGTCTGCAGGCATTGTGGCTCAATATGTTGTGGACTGGTGTATCGACCTTCTCCATCCAAAGGCAGCCAGCGCCTATCCCTGCTGCCCCAGACCAGTAATTAAAATCCTGTGAGACTGGGATTTAAAATCCAATCATATCCCTGAATCAAGCCTTCTAGCCTCCCCATGTGACGAGTGCAATAAGGTAACGGCAGGAGCATGTTTATGTCTGTACTGAAGCAGTCCCCATAGGGTGGGTAAGAAATGGAGAGTTGGGTAGCCCTGCTGGCTAAATCACTTCACCCTGACACCACAGCCACTTGTAAGACAAGCTGTAGCTACATAAACAAGTCCCAGCCAAAGACCACAACTCAAGATGTAAGAGTAAAATATCAAGCACAAAATTTTACAAATTCTGTTTCACTGTGTGCTTCTATTCCCACAGACAGTGTGGTGAGTTTCGGTGAGTGATTTGGTCCTGATTAAGCTACTTGGGGAATTTGGCAGCCAAATGTGTGAGAATTTCTACCAGAACTCTTTGATTTAATCTGTACTTTCCTTGGACTGAGTCTTGCAGTCAAGGCTTATGCTACTGTTGGAGACAGGTGTGTCCCCTCTCCTCCCTGCAGGATCAGGGGCTACCTGGGAGCAGAAACAGTATCTTCTTACTTGTATCCCTCATACCTAGCACACTGATAGATGTATAAAGGGCTCTCAGGAAGTATCTTTGAATAAATGAGTGGATATATAGAGAAATTAGCAGTTAACATTGAAAAAATAGGTGCTGACTGAGAGGATGGCTCAGTAATTAAGGCCACTTGCTGCTCTTGCAGAGGCCAAGGTTCGAGTTCCAACACCACGTGCTGACTCACAACAATCTACAACTCCATTTCCAGAGGAAAATGCTTCACGGGCACCAGGTACACAAGTAGTACACAGACAGACATGCAAAGAAAATACCCATTCATATAAAAATAAAAATAAAAACTATGGGGGCTGGAGAAGTGGCTAGGGGTTAAGAGCATTGGCTTCTCTTCCAGAGGACCTGGGTTCAATTCCCAGCACTTACATGGCAGCTCACAACTGTCTATAACTCCAGTTTCAGGGGATTTGACACATTCACACCATTGCATAAAAAATTAATTTAAAATTATTTTTAAAAAACTACAGTACACTTACTAAGTAGCTACCCATTTTGTACATGAGCACCTCTGGTGCTAGGAAACTTTGGTGTGCTGTATTCTGCCTTCAAACTTCTGATGCTTAGCAAGTCAGCCATGGAATGCATCTAAGGGTCTTATTATTAACCTTCCAGTTCTGCATGGTGGCAGACTTAGTCTCCTGAACTTATTTTTTTCTCCAGCCCAAACCACCAATCAGTTCTTTGAGGCATTTTTTCTCACATGGCTTCTAAACCCTTTTCCACACTAGTTGTATTTCCCAGAACAATCTCTCTGTTTTGTCTCTCTTCCAAAACCTGACTCCCCATTTATATTTTACCTCTTAGTGTCAATCTTCTGTCGGACGTATTAGGTGCACTTCTCACCCTAATTACATCTGCAGATTTAATGAGTAGCCCAACCCCAGGATAGCCATATCAGAAATAAGCATGCTGAACATGACCAAACCCACTTAGTGTCATTGGAAACTTTTCTGGCCTGCCTTTTACCCTATCCCCCTGGGTTCTGGTTGTCATCAGTCACTGACTGACATTCCATGTTTCTGGCATCCAGCTTCTCTTCACTGTGACCGTGGGGTTTTCCTGAGACATCCTATCAAATGTCTGATGAAGTCACCCTTTGCCCTAACTACCTGACTGAGCTCACAGGTAGTCCTGATACAGGAAGAGGTTAGTCTCATATGATTAATACAGACCATCAGTTGCCCAACAGTCACCCCACTTCTCTTTCTAAAGGTTCAAAAAACATCCTTTACGAATCTGTTTGACTCTGAAGATGAAGTAATCTGTGCCAAGTTTATGGTGGGATAAGTACTTTAATACTAAAAGAAGAAAAAGAAAATGACTCAAAAGCTGTTTATTTCACTGCATTTATTTATTTGCAGTGTATGTGTATATGTGTGTACATATATGCACATGCCACAGCATGCATGGGGAAGACAGAGGACAATTTGTGGGAGTTGGTTCTCTCATATAAGTCCCCAGGCTCAAACCTAGGTAATCAAGCTTGGGATTAAAAGTGTCTGCACTGATTAACTTCAAGGAGGAAAAAGAAGAAATACAACAGAGACACTGGACAATACTTTGGTTGGAGCTAGGGTGGGAGTGAAACTTTTATCACTGAAAACTCTTTTGAAGTTTGTGGTATATGCAAATAGTAACTGTTTAAAAACAAGAATAAAAACAAAGCATGCATAAAATATCTGAGAGTGCTCTAGGCAGAGTATGCCCACAAAGATGTTCCCAAGTCCTGTGAGCCTGTGACTATGTCATGGGGACAAGAATGGGCACGAAGGCTGCAGACACGAGTAAGGTTGCTTATCAGTTGGCTCTGAGATACCGTGTGTTACCCAGGTAGGCCCAACAAAGCACAGGGTCTTTACAAAGGGAGGAAGAAGGGGAAAGAATGTCAGGGTGAAGAAACTCAACTGGTCATTGCTATTTGAGACGGATGGACTCCAAAGCATGGGGTGAAGGTCTCTGTAAACTGGACAGGGTGAGATAACAGGCTCTCTGCCGGAGTCTCCAAACAGGAAGGCATCTCTAAAGATGTTTCAGACGTATCCCCTCAGCTCCATGGTAACACACTCATGCTGATTTCTCCCACCCTGCTAACTGCTAACAACAGCCACAGGGAGCATCACAGGAAAAGTTTGTCCTCTGCTCCTCTCAGCTGGGGCTGAGGTTTCCCAGCTCCCTGGACACATGATGCATGAGGAGAGGAGGCCAACCCATCTCTTCACTCCTCCATCCCGCAGTGTCAGTTTCTCTCTTGTCCTCCTCCCTCCAGTCTGGGTTCTGATGGAAAATATGCCTGCTGCTTCCACTGTGTGCCAGTCCTTGGCCTAGTTGTGCTGTGGGACTTGATGGAGTGTCTGAGTGAGGCCACAACAAGGTAACTTTCTGTCCGCCAAACTCCTGAAGGCTGTGGAACCCCTTGGCTGTCATCAGGGGAAAGATTTCTGGGTGCTGCCCAGGAAGTTGAGTTAGTATGGTTCAACTTTTCCTTTGCCCCAGACCAAGAACCCTAAATGGGAAGAGAGGAAATGCTTTGCCTTACCCTTTCTACAGAGATGTCTGTCTCCAGCCCACGATGAAAAACTCCTGTCTTGGTTGGACCTGGAGCATCTAAACACATTGGAGGAAAAGGGGAAAAAGATGATCTTTCTGTCGTTTTGAGTCATCAGGCCTTTGGTGGCACTTTGAGGTGGGATGGGGGAGCAAAGATAGGATCTTTTAAAAAAATAACATTTCAAACATTTATGAAAGAGAAATGAACCCCTGTTTTAAATCTTAGCTTTACTGTTAGCCTGCTGTATGACCACGGGGCAAATTATTTCAATTCTGAGCCTGTTTTCTCTTCATGTGATGAATTATTCAGGCAAAGTATGTAAAGACTATATACCAAGCAAATGTTAGCCTGTGTCCCTGCTCTTATTCTTCTGCCAGATCCAGGCAATCTGTAAAGTGAAAAGAAACAAAACCTCCCCTGCTTCCTTCACCAACCTGCTAAGAATTAAATCCATGGGTATAGTCAGCAGAAGATGCAGCATGGGATACATGCCTATAACTATTCTTGGTTAAGGGGCAGCAGGACTCTAAGAGTACATGTCGAATGTGTGCACATGTTGAGCAGTGGAGAATGGAAGACACTCCGAATGAGGCCTCAGGAGACGGGACTCTCTTGCCCTTCCACGGTTCATCCTTTGTCACTCTCAACAAGCCTCTCAGATGTCAGCCTCTGGGAACACACAGAAGAGTTGGTGAGGGTCTGCGACAACTGAAATGTGGCAGGCCATGACCAGAAAAGGGAATGAGGAGAACAAGAACCCAGAGGGGGTATTCCTGACCACTGGCCTTGAAGAATGTAGGATCTAGATAATTATGAAGACAAGGAACAGGGCTCTTGCAGAAGGAACAGCACAGATACCATGCCAGAATGAATGTGGTGACAGGGAAGGCACACAGCTTGTTCCACCATCTTTCTGAATGCTTCCTTGATAGGGAGTTTACTACCCAAAATTCTAGTCTACGTGGTTACCTCTAATCATGGAGGGTCATCTCTAATACTCATCAAAGCCTCTCACTGGACACAGGAAAGAGACTGCCAGGATCATAGATGTCAGGACAAAGGGAGCAGAGGTAAATGTGAAAAAGCTTTTGCAGAGATCACTGTAATCTTTTCTTTTCCAACCATATTCAAACTTGCTGTCTCATTCAGTCCTCATAAAACCCATAGAAGTAGGCAGGACAGCAGTCACCACCAGAATAGTAGAGAAGTGCCCAGCCAGCTAGGAGGGGAAGTGCTTCTTCTCATCTACAGATGGAGAGAGATCTGGGACCAGCAATGAGTCTAGGGGCTCCCCCTTACAGGAACAAGGGCATGCTCACACACTTGCTGTCAGGAAGGCTTTTCTAACAGACAGAACTACTGACATGCTCTCAGCCTCAAAAGATAGCTCCTGAGGAGAAGACATGAATAATGATAGCCTTTAACAGAATTCTTTTCCTGCATGAAAACAAGCAGAAGGCTATGGAGTGTTGAGGATGGTACCCAGCCTTTGCTGAGTTCTCCAGTCACAAACAGTCTGTGGGAGGGAGTAAGGAAGCCTTCCTGGAGAAGACACTCAGTCTTAAAGATGAAGTCATTGGAGCCAGGGAACCACCTATTCCAGATGGAGTAGAAATAACTTCTCGGGAATTAGAACTCATATGAGGATTTCCCATTTGGAGCATGTGTGATTATGTCAAATCAAAGGTAGGTGCTGGCCTGAGAAGAGCAGTAGGCTCCCTAGGCACCAAGTCTCTCCCACCAGCACCCCCTTCCACTATCTTCACCTAGCTGGGTGAAGAGATCTCAGCCAGTCACAGCAGCACCAACCAGCACCAGCTCCTTACCCACCCAACCACCCCTACCCTACTTTCTGGGTCCGATCCTTATTGACAGATCCCCCAGAATCTGAAGGAATTCAAGACAAATGGTTAAGAGGATGGAGTTAATAAAATTTGAAAAATTGAGGCCTGTCACTCCACTAAACTTTTTTCAATACCACTGACAGAAACATATTTCCCCAATGAGTGACCTTCCACAGCTGTAGCGGGCAGGCGCAGCCACAGCCGCGCTGCCAGGAAGCCAGGCTGCTATTTATCAAATATTATAAGCTAGGACAACTAATCTGGAGCAGGAAAGGAAGGAGGGGGTCCTGCAGCACACTGCCTAGGGTGCTCCAGGTGTTTGCCCCAGCCCCAGACAGCCAGTGGGAGGTGACGGATGGCCTGCGATTAGTGCTCCCACCTCCTTCCAGCCCTCTCACTTGCTCCCAGAGGCCTGGCCCTCTAGACCAGCTGCTTGGCCTGGAGGGGCCCTGGGTGGGAGGCAAGGGGAGGTCAGGCCAGGGCACGGGCCATCCTGATGCCCCCAAGAGGGCAGCCGGGTGAGGCCCAGCATGGTTATTTATTGGAGTGTAATGGTTTGTGGCCGTTGGTCGTGAAGGTGAAATCGATCAGTGGTAGAAGTCAGGTTCTATCAATTATTAGAGCAATTAGTCAAGTCGGAGGGAGGGTAGGAGTCTGGGGGAGTGATATTGGATGGACATTATCCAGGTGCCCCCGCCTCAGCCTTCCTAAAGTGGGGCAGATGTGCTGCCCTGAGGCTCCAGAACCTTGGAGAACCCGGCTGGTTTCCCCTGGCGAGTAGCCTGACCTGAGAGTCTCCTACCCTGGAGCCAGAGCCCAGCACCACTATGAAAGGAAGCTCCTGAGCTAGCTGGCCCAGGTGCAGACATGTCCTACCTGTCCCCAGCCCATGCTTTATGAGAAGTGACATGACTCCTGCTAGAAATTACTCAGTGGCCAATGTTTATGGCACACATTTTTCATTCTGTAAGCAAATATAGATCACTGACAGCACTTGTTTGAAGCAGCTAATCTCACCCTCTCCTCTCTTCTTCCATTTCCTTCTCTCACCTTCTCTCCCTCCTGCCCTCTCTGCCCATGCCTCCTCCCTCCCTAGTTCCTCCTGAAGATCTAACCCCTACTCTGCAGAGCACATAGCTAATAGCAGAACTCCCCTCCTGGCAGCCAGAGGAAGGAGGGGCCTCTCCATTACTGCTTTGAGGCTCCTGGCCTAGCTGTGCTATGAGAATGAGACGGATACTGTCTGGCACTGGCCCCTTGGACCTTGCAGGACCCTATTCGGTGCCCAGCACCCAGAAAACAGGGCCATGGCAAGACAATAAACCCCAAATGCTCTGGTCCTTCTTGAACTCTGTGGTTCTTGTCTGTCTGCCTGTCCTTCAGCACAGAGGCCAATCTCGGCCTGTGTCACTGTCATGAGCTCATCATGTCCCCATTAGCTCTTGAAGAGCTGAGTTTGTGCTAGACTCAAACTCAAAAGAGACCTGTTCCTAAAAACAGGAAAAGATGTCTGCAAAAGAGACAGAAAGACTGGTCACAGGATTGAGGGGAGGGTTTGAAAAGAGGTCTTTAAAAACTCAAAGGAGTCAATGACAAGATTACCTGTTACCACAGAACAGTAAGGAGGAATTACGAAGATAAGTAAATAAATACATAAATATATAAGTAGGTTCCAAGCACTCAGGATAACAAGGCAGGGGGAACTCCATCAAGTTCAAGGATGGGGTAGGCTATATAGTGAGCTTAAGACCAGCTCTTCTCTGAAACCAAAACCAAACTAAGTATGTGGGGAAGGGCTGGAGGGAGTTCCTGGGTTAAGAGCACATGCTTTCAATTCAGCAGACACATCAGGCAGCTCACAACATTCATAACTGCAGCTCCTATGATGCCTCTGACCTCTGTAGGAACCTGTATGTACACACACACACACACACACACACTTTAATAAATCTTGGGAAAAAAGTATATAAAGAAACTGCTCATTGGCCCTGGCAGTTCTGCACACACAGAGCTGCTGGTGTGCAGTGCCCAGTGAGTGCCAGCTGATCTATCTAAAAAAAAAGAACAAGGCTCTGTGTGAGCCTCTGGGTTCTTAAAAGCCTAGAAGCTTAGTAGTGCTGGTAATACACATCTTGTTCAGCTGGGCCATGCAGGAGGCATGAACCTTACTGGTGTGCTCAGTAAACATTAGTGTTGAGCTAACAATATACCTCCTTGCTGAGACAGCACCCTCACTAAGGAGGCTGGCTGTACTTGGTTCTGTGGACAGTGAAGGCCCACTGGAGGGACTTCAACATCATTGCCACTCTGTTGAGGGTGTGGAGAATTGGAGTTAGGAAAACCCAGGGCTATGGTGGACTCCTGGCTCAAAACAATAGGCCTGCGGCTAATGGCCATGCTTGATCCAGTTTCCGTGTCTGTGCCAGCACTTAGAAGGTAGTCATGTGGCTCTCAGTTAACCTTTGTCCTCCAGCCATCAGAACATACACACCCTCATCATCAGCTAGCAGGGCAGACCCATGGTCCTGAGATGTCCACATCCTTCCAGAGAACTTGGCTGACTCTGTCTGGCAGGAAAGAGAAGAGCTGGATGTAATGAGTCATACCTGTAATCCCATTTAGGAGGCTGAGTTTGAGGCAAGCCAGGGCCTTTCAGTTCCTATTCTGTTTTAGAAAGGAATTCTATATGGCTTTGTGGTCCTTTATATACAGTTATATTGGAAATGTGAACATTTTTATGAATGTATGAATATATGTGAATACATGTGTTAGCATTTGTGTTGGGTGTATAAATCTATTTATATGCCTAGTTTTATTAGCATGTTTAGCTACATATATATATGAAGGCCCTAGTGTCCTGACCTCCATCAGAGAGGGCCACATATTCTCTCCTTCTGGAGTAACTTGATATGTTTTCCTGTCATTTTGTAATCTCGTAAATTTCCATGGGGATTCATACTGAAATTGAGGCTCCCAAGCCACCTGTAGGTGAATACTGAGGACCTACTAATCATTCATATAGCCCCTGAACATTTATCATTTTCTTCCCGCCAGGAGCCAACCCTCTTCAGAGGAATGAGATGGGACACACACCTGTGGATTATGCCCGGGAAGGGGAAGTTATGAAGCTTCTGAAAACTTCCGAGACCAAGGTGAGTGAGTAGAGAGAGGAGACTGTGGGCACCTTACATGTCATTTAACCTTCCACTCTTTTGGGTTGGGGGGGATGGTTTACGTGTGTGTGTGTGTGTGTGTGTGTGTGTGTGTGTGTGTGTGTGTAGCATATGCATGCACTTCCTGGGAGAGGCTGGTGGAGGGCATCAGATCCCCTGGAGCCAGAGTTCAGACAGTTGTTAGCGGCCACATGGGTGCTAGGAACGGAATCCAGGTCCTCTGGAATAGCAGCCAGTGCTCTGAACCATCTCTCTAGCCCATAACCTTCCACTTTTTCAGTTACTTCAGGTTCCACACCAGAAGCACTTAAGTGATCTTTTATTTTCTGGCAACTGGTCTTACTACATAGTAAAGGCTGGCACTCCCAGAGTAAGTTATCAAGACTGAGGTTGATCACAAGGAGATAGATATATATATATATAGATACAGATACAGATATAGATATATAGATACTAGGTTCCATTCAGGAATGAGCTCAGAAGAGGTCATCTTCTTGTTCTCTTTCTAGCATATGGGATCTGTTGTCTGCAGATTGGCTGAAGTGCTGGGATTGCAGGCATGCATCACTAAGCCAACCCTTGATGGTTATTGTCTATTTAGACTTACATCCAGCTCTGGTCTTACCAAGAATAGGGAGATTTCCTGTCACAACCATGGAGAGAAAGAGGCCCAAGCCACCTGTGGCTTCAAGAATTAAACAGTCACATTTATTTTTAAGGTGACAACTTCCCAGCTTCTTTTCAGTCAAAGGTACTAACCAAATGAAGTCTTGAGGAAAATATTAGTTTCTAGCTGAGTAATGATGGCACATACCTTTACTCCCAAGTTCTTGGGAGACAAAGGCAGGCAGATCTCTGAGAGATCAAGGTCAGCCTGGTCTACAAAGCAAATTCCAGGACAGCCAGGGCTGTTACACAGAGAAACCCTGTCTCAAAAAACCTGGAAGAAAAAAAAAGTTCCTTGGGCCTCACATACCTTACAGCTTCCTACAGTGTCCTTCCAGTTGTCACTCCTTCACCCTAACCCTCTACACAATCTCAGTAAGAATCACCTCCATTCTAATGTTATTTTCTCAACCAAACTCCCTAAAAAATAAGAATGAGGCTCCTGCTTTGCCCAGGTACCAAACTTTCAATTTGGGAGCAATTGGGTAGACTCCAAGAACCAGAGTCACAAATATTCAGACCTGACAGGAGCCAGGACAGTCATCAGATCCTGTGATGGATTAGAAAGAAATGGAATTGTTCTGGTTGAAGGGAAGATGGCCTAAGTGTTGCCCATGCAGCACACTCTTCCCTCCTGGCATTTGCTGAGAGGCATGGTACAGCCGCTGCAGTAGACGTAGGTATAAGTTTCTGAAATGTGCACCTGATGACTTGTTTTATTCCTGGAGATACTGAAGCCAGTGTTATGATGCAGCTTGCCTTTGTCCCATAGTGAGTTAGCATCAAAACTGAAACTAATACACTTGACCACAAGGGCATCTGATGCGTTCTGTGGTGGGACATAGCCTGGAATACCAGGCTTCTGATCCCTCATCTTTGCTCTTTCCAACATTGTCGTGTTCTCAGAGATAATTCAGTGTGACAGGTCCCACCTAGTGGCAGATACTCTGCCTGTCTGAGACAGCGAAGACTTGGGTTCTCACCCTAGCTCCAGCACTCTGCCTGTACCACCTTGGGACTAGCACTCCTCACTGAAACCTCCGTGAAGCTCCACGGAAGAAAAATATTGAACTGAGTAGTCCCTAAGTTTCAGCCAGATATATGATTACATAACCATCAGGATAGCTGAACTGTGCTGCTGTAATCATCCAAAATTTCAGTGGTTTGAACAACACTTATTTTTGTCTTGTTCACTGTTGCTGGGAACGAGGGAAGGCTCTGCTCATCAAGGGCACTCAATCCCACCTTTATTGACAGTACCCTCTCCCTCCACCCTGCCCTCCCCCCAGTTGCTGGTTGCTTGCCGGAGAATAAAGTATACTCTGAAGGGTCTTATATTTTCAGTTGAGAACAGGCAATGTGGCACTTACCACACAAGCCTCGCAACCTGAGTTGGATGTCTAAAGCCCATGTAAGAGGTAGGAGGAGGGAACCAACTCCACATTATTGCCCTCTGACCTCCACACTCATGACCGCACTCACAGCTGACTACTCAGCCTGGAAGTGGAGCCCTTTACTTCCTACAGCTCACTGTCCTGAACTAACCACAGGATCCTACCAAATCAAATTCATAGGAGAGCTGCAACAACTTATGATCAGCCTCAACCACAAAGAGGGTTATCTCTGATAAGCTTAGTTGTTGTCTTAGGATAATTTCTTTTTTTTAAGATTTATTAATTTATTACATATACAGTGTTCTGCCAGATTGAATTGTAGATGATTGTGAGCCACCATGTGGTTGCTGGGAATAGAACTCAGGACCCCTGGAAGAGCAGTCAGTGCTCTTAACCTTTGAGCCATCTCTCCAGCCCCCATCTTAGGATAATTTCTTTAGAGATGGGTTAAGAAATGGTAGCTAGCTTTTCACAGCCCAGCCAAGTTGGTTCTTGGGACCAAAAAGAGCTACTAAATTCAGGGTGCCCTGGGAGCAGCTGCACTGCCATTCAGGTCAGCTTCTCCACTGCCTTGATGAAATCCCTGCTGGTTCCAGATAGCCTCAGGAACTGTATCCCATCCCCTCTTCTTTAGACTTGGCCAAGAATACCTGTGGACTGGTGCTAGTCGTGCCAAGGTTCTTTCAAAGAGAACAAGCATCTTGGTGTCAGCACAGGTCCTTAAAGCTACTGAAGGCCACTTAAAAAAATAAGGTCACCTAAGGGAGGTGGCCACAGTATCAGCCTACTACCGGGTGCCCTCAGCGTCTCCATGTCATCTTCTGTCATCTATGTCGTCTTTGGTTGGTTGTTCCGTCTCTCCTTACGCCTTTCTCCTCTGCAGGATCTGGCTCTTTAAGGCAGATCATTATGGGAAAAGTTCTGTTTTGACCTGAGCTCCATCTCCCTCTGCCAGGTAGTAAACAATAGCTGCCCCTCAGAGTTCAGGCCCTGCCATCTAGAGCAGTGACTCAGACTTGGAAGACACTGGGATCCTAGCTCAGACCTTCCCTCCTGGTTGTGTCTAGGTGTGTATCTAGTTAGGGTTTTTATTGCTGTGATGAAACAAACACCATGGCCAAAATCAGTGTGGGAAAGAAAGGGTTTATTTCACTCACAGTTCCATTTAACAGTTCATCAGCAAAAGCAGTGCAGGCAGGAACTCAAGCAGACAGGAACCTGGAGGTAGGAGCTGATGCAGAGGCCATGGAGGGGTGCTGCTTACTGACTTGCTCCTCACAGCTGGCTCAACCTGTTTTCTTATAGAATCCAGGACCACCAGCCCAAGAATGGCACCACCACAATGGGCTGGACCCTCCTCCATCAATCACTAATTAAGAAAATTCCTTACAGACTAACCTACAGCCTGATCTTTTTGGTTTGGTTTGGTTTTTGTTTTGTTTTTTTCAAGACAGGGTCTCTGTGTAGCCCTGTCTGTCCTGGAACTCTCTCTGCAGACCAGGCTGGCCTAGAACTCAGAGATCTGCCTGCCTCTGTCTCCTGAGTGCTGAGATTAAAGGTGCCATCACTGCCCAGCATACAGCAATTTCTTAATTGAGGTCCCCTTCTCTCAGATGACCCCAGCCTGTGTGGAGTTGACACAGGACTGTCCAGCACAGTGTGGGTTACTACTGATCTGATCTACCTTGCTCCCCTTCTGTCCATCCTGCACTGTACTCCACCAGTGCCCAGTAAGCCTCTTCCCCCTTGACCCACCATTCTCTAGTCAAATTACACTCGTTACAGAAAATGTGTGAGCGTTTAGAAATAAGATGAAGAGAATATAATGTTATTTGGCCTATTTGTGGGTGACAGGTCTGTGCTGGACTGTGGGCTAGATAGCAGAAAACAAATGAGTAAGTCTCTCCAGGAGTTGACAGTCTGACAGGCAGTCAGGCAATGACTAGTCAAGAAAGGCTTCCTGCAAGAGTGGTCACCTAAGCCCAATCTCAATCAAAGTGTCCTGCCTACTGCCTATGTATAGTGCTACGCATGTTGTTATTCCTAACAGTTACCTAGGCACTGTGCTTCGTGCGTGTTAACTGTATCTATTTCTGTAACAAACCTCGGGGAAACTGAATAGGCAATAAAGAAGGAAGTGACACATAGGAAATAAGGCTGTCGTAGGATTTTAAACATGTGGCTCAGTGGTACTACATGAACTCTTTTGAGACCATATCCACATCTCTTTACCTAGGTGGCCTTTTTGCCTAAACATACTGGCAACCATGTCTTATATGCCAACCCAGAATTCTCAAAAATGTGAATTTAATGACACAGGACTTTCAGTATTGAATTTTCTTCATCTACTGCCAGATGGCAAATGGAACAGTGAGAGGGAGGGGCTGGGGGATAGTCTCTGAGCCATGTCCCTGCTGTATTATGTCATCACCTGCCAGGCATTTGTGTTACCTGCTTAACCAAGAAGGTGATTCTAAATCTCCCCACCCCCTTTACTATTAGTGATTTCTGCATATTTAAAATTATTCATAATCCTAATGTTTTACCTTATTCCTCCTTTTAAAATATATCGCTGGCTCTCAGAATCTCTGTCACCTTAACTGGATCAAGTGATTTCTTGCAGTGATCTTCTTGGGCTCTCTGAGTCTTTCTGCAGTCCCCGGCCGGGCCTAAACTGCTTTAACCCCAGCAGACCTGAAGTGGAGAGGCCCAGCCACTGTCCCTTGCTTGCTGTCCTACTGTGGGAGAGACAGGCATTCTTGGCTCCATTATGGAAAGAGCTGGCAGGTGCCTCCGGAGGGATGCAACAGAGTTGTGGGGGGTAGCGTGGCTCTAGGAGAATGTGGCTTGCCCACCTCTTGGCAGAGGGCAGGGCAGGCTTCATAGAAGAGGTTAGCCAGCCTAGATCTCACTTTGAAT